GGGAAATTTATTTCTCGGAATGTTCAAGCCGTGCACACACACATATATATATATATATATATGTGGGAATATTTGTGCGTAGAATATCGTTAAAGATGCTGAATTATACCGCGGTATTTGCGCAAATAGCGGAGAGCTGCGCGCGGCAACACTCGCCATTGTTAACGCGCGGGCACGTGAATAAAACGAGCACGATCATCGTTCCCTATTTGCTCCTATTCGGAGGATGTACGGGTCGTTAATCACCGGTGCCTCCCATCGCTTCTTTAAAATGCAAACCGGCCGACATAACTAACTACTGCCGGGCCCTCGGAGATCCGCGGCCGCGGACGACGAGGAGACACGGGGGGATGTAAAAACAAGACGAAATATGAGGCCGAAGAGGACGGAAGGGCAAAAATCCGGGAGGAGGGGAAATGTTTGACCCGCCGGACGTTTGCACACGCTGTCCCGGGTATACAAACGGCGCGTCTCCCCGCGAGATCGAGCGGGATGCTTGCATATTTTAACGGCGACATCCGCGCGCCGCGACGTAAAAATAAAGGAAAAAAAAAACAAAAGAAAGCGACGCGTTTGAACGATCAATCCGAGCTGTTTCGTCCGTATATCCGCGCGTCACGCGCTCAGAAATTTAATTGCCAGCTGACGGCGATCCCGCCTCAAGTGTCCCCCGTCTCGAGTCGCGGAGGAACGCGGACGATAAACAGCGCGACCCCGGGAGACCGTAACCTTCTAACAAGTTCCAATCTTTCAATAGACACTATTCCCGGCAGAACTCCCCTCGGCTCGAGGCAAAGTCACGTTCGCTGATCATTTTATGTGGTACACCCAGTGTGTTTTTATTTTAACTGGGTCACTGCGACAGAGAGAGAGAGAGAGAGAGAGGGAGAAAAGGAGACTGCTCCGGGAAGCACTCGTAGAACTCCGGAGGCACTTAAACATCTCAACGATGCCGGGGAGTTTATTGCATCTTTGACATCGAAGTGCAGTCGAAACCCATCGTCGTCGTCGTCGTCGTTGAACGACGATACGCGGCAGCTGCCGCCGTAATGTCGCGCACCTTTCTGTACCGCAACGGGGGCAGGGGAGTTCGAGATGGTTCGAACTTGTCGTTAGCCGGTGCGCCCCGAACGTTCACGGTAATTCGAAAAATGCGAGAGAAAGCTCTCGTCGCCGGCAGCCGCTGGCTCGTTTTCGTCCGCATTATCCGGTAATATCGCTCGCGCTCGCAGAACCGGGCTATTGATCGGAAATTACGACGACTCGAGGCAAACAATATTTTAAAAAATTAACGCGGGAGAGAGAGAGAGAATAGGAAAGAAAAACAAGCACGTTTCCTAAATAAATTTTCCTCCGCGGCGATGCTCGTATAATCTATCCGGATTTATTTCAGCGAGTTTCGCGCGCACGCACCAGCATCCAAGATAAATCCAAGATAAATCTGTCTCCGAGAAGCTGAAACGAGATAATCAGCAATTAAAACAACGTCCATTCGCGATGCCCCGTGGCTGGCTGGCTTGTTATGTTTGTCCTCCCGTGATTTCCAAAGGAGAGTATTATCCGAGAGCGCGCGCGGAAGAACGGAATGCGAAGCGGGCTCGCGCGAGTTTTCCTCACATTCATGCACGAAATTGCAGCACGGTCAACTCGCGCGCGCGCACTTCGATTTTACTTTCGCGCGACTCGCGCGTTATCACGCTACGGATTGAGTAAAAGAACTTTCGGCGACGGGGGGAGGGAATTTCAAGCGAGAGAGAGAGAGAGAGAGAGAAAGAAAGAGTTAGAACATCGCGTGAGCGGCGGAGAGTGGCTATTAAGATCGCTTGAAAAGCGCGAGAGAGCGTTTGCACATTCTCAAGTACGCCGCTACGTGTGAGCGAGAGAGAGAGAGAGAGAGTTCCGCATTCTCGCGCGAGCGCGCGTTGTAAACTGGGTCGCTAAGACGATTATCCTGCGGATGTAACCACCGGTGAGGGATGAGCATGGGTTATTACTACGCTCGAGAGATTCCGCGGAGTCGTAGCCAAATCGAGTGGGATACTTTCGATTGCTCGCGGCCGTTTCTATTCCCCGGAGTTATTTCTACGAGACTTCCTACATTGTTGATTCGCCGCGGTACACACGTATATGTATGTATGTATGTATGTATAGATATATACCGCGATAAATCCGCGTAGCTGGTAAGTTACCGCTGCCCCCTCCCCGCTCCTCCTCGTCCTCCTCTCCCATCCCCTCCGACGCCACTGTTTCCACGGTGTGCTTTTACGAATATTATACGTTGAATGTTTCGCGGGACAAAGTTGCGAAGCAACAGCGCGGAAGCGGCGTGGCCGATGAAAGGAGGGCTGGAGGGAGACGCGTTGCAGGATGGAGGGGAGAAGCACCGTTTTGTTTTCCGGACTCGGAAGACCTGTGAAAGGTGTGAAATTAAAATTTACGCGCACGCCGATGGTACCCCCTCCTCCCTCCCTCAGTAACATTTCTCCGCTAAAATGTGGATGGGAGAGAAGCATCGAAACTGACGGATGTGCTGTTTTGGTTTTGACCTTTAAAGCCCTGCTGAAGGTGTGAAATGAGAATTTATGCCGTGGAGAACCGAAGCACCGATGAGCCAACTCTATTTAAATATTAATATTGTCAATCTTAATATTATTGTAGGAAGATTAGTGTAGGAAATTATCCATCGTGCATTGCGGACGAGTCCGAAGTTTTGCTCTTCCTCCATCGTTTGGATCTGAATGCGATGCGTCACGCTTTTTCCCCTCGACCGTTCCGACTTGTGTAATCTCCGCGTATGCTCGGTCGGCGTGATCGCAAGAATCTTAACAAAATCGCGAAATTCGCCTGGAATTCGACGACAGGATAGGGGGGGAGGGGAGCAGGGCACGACACGCTGTTCTCGGAAAAACGGCCGAAAGCTCGCCGTCGTATTTTTCGGCAAGGAACTTTTCGAACACCCGCCGCCGTCGGCGCGCCGGCGCTTAGAGAGAAAAGCGGGACCGGATGAAGGAGTTTATAGCTGATCGCCGTGAGATTTATAGCGAGTAGAGCCGGGACGCCCGGGAAAATCCTCGGAAACATTACCAAATCGGTACGCGTGACCACGAGCGGGGTCGCGACGGGAAAGAAGATGGAAATAAAGAAGGACGGGGCAGAGAGAAAGAGCGTCACAGGCGCGAGCGAGCGAAAGGAAGGGACGAGTTGAGGAATCGAGCGAGAGCGAAAAAATATCCTATGAATTCGTGAGTGACTTCGGATATCACGTTCGGTCCCGCCTGGCGGAGATTTCCCGACGACTTTGTAGTCCGCGGTATATATCCGGAGTCCGCTTGCAAGTTTAAACCGCACCTTGCGTCGTGTACGTGTCGCAAATGTATTCCACGCACAGCGCAAGGATTTCCCGCGCCGCCGCCGTCGTTGCGCTTTTTTAGAGCCGCTACGCGAATCCGCAACCTCGCCGTCTCGCGCGTTTGCGTCCACGTGAGACGATCGAATTAAATAGCAAGCGTCGGATCTATGCAATATTGTTTCAAGGCTCAAAGGAATGCTGCGAGCGAAGTGATCGGTGATCACCCACATTATAGCTCCCGCCGTTATGGCTTGACAAAATTCAAAAGCCCTTCACGCGTAAAGCAAACAGAGCGCGAAATAGTAAACGGGAGAGTGGGGAAAATTTTCGAAAGGTGTACATAGCGCTCTGCACTGTCAGGTGCGTACGGCTGTCGAGTCGTGGAAACATTCGTTTGACATGAAAGTTGTGGAATTCGTATGTATGAAATGAACCGCACCCCGCACCTTTGACTAACGTAAGAAACAATGACGTATCAACAGAACTAGGAAACTAAGGATGAAAGTCCAATAAGAAAGTATAGCGGTTGAAAAGGGGATTTTATCCGCACGCGCATAATGCAGATGTAATGCAGATCAGTCGAGATTCTACAGCTTGGTCTACAACGTGCTCTTCGCGTCTTGTTTCTTGCCTTCTATCTTTCTTCCGTAAGAACTTCCATTTACTTATGGAAAAGAGACAGAGTGCAAAAACCAAGAAACAAGGAAATTGCACCGTTTGCTTGGCTTGGATAAAATGTCTTGCAAATAGAAGCGCGAGATAAGTTGTTGCCACCTGCGAGTAAACCCGTTGAAAACTGTTTTATCATATTTCCTGCGTTTTTCTCGGGCCGGTCACCCATCGTATCGCATATCACGTTAAAAATCTCAAGAATTTATCGTCATTTTTAATTCCGCTCAAGCGACGGCGCTTTCCCGGTCGAAGTTCGGCCGTCACTTCGGCATCCCCTTAAGCCTCAAGAAATTGACCGATCACAATCGATTATTCTCCTCATATTCGACTGTGATCGATCAATTTCTTAAAGCTTAAAACGTCTATCGGGACTAATAGATTCCAGGCGGCTCTGAGCACACGCTCATTGGCCGCACGAGCTAATTAAATACGAAATGTCGGACAGGTTGCGCCGTCCGATTCCTCGTTCGTCCGCTAATCGCGCGGTCATCTCGCTGGTCCGGTAAATTTTCCGCAAATTCTCGGTAAAATATGCAATCCAGATCCGCCAGAGCGATAACTTATGTATTTTATTAAGTTCACGATTCATCAGTATTATCTTGGTATTATCTTCGTAGCCGAACGCTAAATCGCAATTTCGGGGCGCAGGGCGATGGGGGTAGATGGAAGGGGGGTGCGAGAAGGGTCGGCACCATTAAACGGCGACCTCTCCCCTTGCTCCCTATAAATGTAATTCAAAATGCACCGGCGTAATTAGCCCGGCGATGAAAACACGTAGATCGCCGCGATTAAATATCTACGCTTGAATTTATGCTCGATTTTCATGCATAGCCATCGGAAAACGTAATTACGCTCATGACATTTAATGCGAAGTTATGTAATTACACGTCGCGCGCAAAGCGCGCGCCCATACATGCGCGTCTGGGAACTCCCCCCTGCCCCACCATCACGCAAGGAAAAGAAATCATCTCTCACTTACTTTCGTTCTTTCTTGTCCCACCGGTTATTCGGTCATCCAGAAGAACATATTTCTCTGGACTGTCTGGAGCTCGGCCGACGGTGGTGTCTCTCTCATCGACGACTTCTGGAAAAAAAAGAAGAGACACGGCTCGGTCAGACCCGCCGAAAGAGAGAGGGAGAGACGCGTTAATCGCTCGATGATTCGATATCGCGCGTTTAAAGCTCGCACTTTCGCGACAAAATTACAGGACGAAGCGGATTAAATATTCACAGGCATCAAAACGATATCAGGCGCACATATACACACACGTGGAAACGTACATACGGCGAAACCGCAAATTGGGTGCGTAACCGCGAACGAGTAATCATTATACCTTCGACGTTTGAAAGTCCAAACATCCGATCATCATTATTCAGTTAATATCTCATAGAAATTTGAATCGCGCTCGCGATCATATTATCTCGATAATTTCGCGGGCGGTACGCGCCATAAAAATCGACTATCGGCCGACCCTTCGCCGCCGGCGGCGGATTGAAACAGAACGCAACACCCAAGAACGAGCTCTGCCGAATATCGACAATCTAGTTCTCGCAAACTTCGCGGGGAATACTCGCACGACTCTTGCACGTCGCGACGGCGTGTACTCTGCTGAAATTAAAATCGATACTTGCGGGAGGAGAGAAAGAGAGAGGCAGGATGAGAGAAGCGAGAGGAGAAGGTGCAGAATATAGGGAAGGGGGAGGGGGGCAGAAGAAATGGAGATAACGTCGGGATTTTATTCCAGCCGCTGGCACCTTGTAAGACGCCGTGTAAAATCGCCGAAGAAGGGAGCGTGTTGGATAAATAATCATTCTGCAGAGTGCGAATCTTCTTTCGCGGCCCCAGGAAGGGGCCGACGACCGATAAGATGGGCGAATAACGAAGTGGAAGGGAGAGGAGAGAGAGAGAGAGAGAGAGCAGTCGTAAAGCAGCGGGAATAAATAGTCGAGCGTCAAGTCGCCGACCGAAGTTTGCGAACGCGCAAATCCTGAGGGAAGTCTTAAACGAGAGAATTCCGCGTGATCGTTCTCCTCTTCGCCTTCCTTCAGCCTCCTCCCTCCTCCGATCTTCCATACTTCCCCTCCCCCTTCCTTTCATCCCTCCGTGCCGCCCGATTCCGCGCATTCTTCGCATAATTATTTTATCGTTGCGAAACAGCATCGCTACACACCTTCGGAAGTTCGCTCGCTCGCTGTATGCGTATTCGTTTCGTTCGCGCGACGCTGAGTAGATAAATAAAGGGACGTCCCTGCTCCATATTTCCATAATTAATAAGCAAGCCGAGAATAGATTACGAGGAATCGGGAAAAGTATTAATAATGTAGCATAATCGATATTCAATGGGAACGGCGGGAACGAGAATAATTGATATATTCGATAAGGCGGAAATAGAAGAGGGGAATTCCGAAAGTCCGTGAAACGTGGTTGCGCGAGTGATGACCGCGAAATATTATTTCGGAAAGAGAGAGAGAGAGAGAGAGAGAGAAAAGGTGGGCGCGGGGAGTAAACGCGCTCGGCGAACCGCCGCTCATTGATGTCCCTTTTAAAGCGTCCTAAAACGGAAGAAAGTCGAACGAAATTCCGAATGGGAGGTAGGAAAGTGCGAAGCCACAACGCGAGAATAAGTGGATAGTGTGTGTGTGTGTGTGTGCCCGGCGGGAATTTACGAGCGATACCTTTCCCACCAGAAATTTTCGCTGCGGATGTTCTCGCCGGCGCCGTCTCGTCCTCGAAATCGTAGGCGGCGTTTAATATATTCAATACACTCTCGCTCTCTTCTTTCCCTCTCTTCATCGGCGTGTTGCGCTCGTCATTTGCTCGACCGTGTTCGCAGTTAAAAAATACCAGACTCATGTAGCGACATGAGGATTAACAGCGCAGCCGTGAGAGCTGTCATTCATATAAAAATAATGAATAATTTGAGAGCTATTTAATAAAATTTGATTTGATTTGATTGATTTATAGTGGTCGGAGACTTAGAGATATTTCTATTATCTGTTAATATTTATAGATTTTTATAACAGTATCATATATTTTGGTGAAGAAGTATTGCTGGTTTGCATTCTTATACATAAATTGTAATTTTAACGCCTTCAACAGAGCTTTATAGTAAAAATGGAGTGTCAGTTTTACTTTATGTAATTATTTTTTTTTATTTTCGTAATAGCTTTTATTCGGGAAAAAGTTACGAAATAAAACGTTCAGATTCCTTTCTCAGATACGGACAATTAAATCGTACTGAGATCCGTCCGAAGTATTGATATACGAAATTCACGTATTCCTGTTGTGTTCGCAGAAGAGCCGGTTCTACGGCCGGATCAATCTTTACGAGGGAGATCGTCATCCGCTGCCTCCGTAATTTTTATGTTTACGCAATGACAGGGCGCGTTTCCCCGGAACTACGAACCACTCCGTTCCGGCGGTGGCTGTCGTAGACGCGATATTCATACGAATAACATTCAGTTTCCTGGCCGTCGAGGAATTTATGAGGAAGACGAACCGCGAAACGACGAGGGGGAATTCGGAAGACCGGCGATAGGAATAAATAGCGCGGAGTATACGCGACGCGACAATTCCGATTTATGACTAATACAGCTCGACGGGAATCTCGAGCAGCGATATCCACACACGTTCTTCCTCCTTTATCCTTTGTTCCCTTGCGACTTGATGGCTTCTTGCGTTTATCGTAGTCGTGGACTGTTCTGAAAGCGCGGTTTTAGTTCGAGTGCTGAGGAAAGAAAGGGAAGAAGAAGGAATGAAAGGAGGAAGGTAAGGAGGAAAGAGTGAAAGAAAGAGCCGGAGCGGCAGTTGCCGAACTTTCTTGCTGCGCCGTGAGCTTCCCCGTACGAACAAGATTCTAATCAAATCTCATCTTTCGTGGACTTAGAATCATTCTTGCGTCTGTTTATTGCAAAATTCGAGTCGAGATCGAAGAAAGAGAGTCGCGTGAGAGAAAATTGTTTCTCGATGGACTTAACATAGCGATAGTTGAGAAGTGATGTCTTGCATATCCGCAGAAATGGCTACTTCCCGATGTTTAATTTGGCGAACTCGGAGTTTGTCTTTTTCCATCGATTTGGGAAAGCTCGTATTTGAAGGCGGGGTCAGAGCGAACAGTCGGGAGCACGGAAATTAATATTTTATTTCTTACTGCGCATATAAAGAAACACCATTTAGTCTTACTAAGAACATTATATTCCTGTGATTTAGAAATAATTTTCAGGAATAAAGAGAAAAAATTAGATAAGTAGTACGATATCTTCAAACCGACACAATTTTCAGTTTGAAGACATCGTTCCTTCTATCCAATATTTCTTTCCTCTCAGTTCATGAAAATTATTCTTGAATAATAAGAATATGATATGATATGATATTCTTAGTGGAATTATATAGAATCTTGAATTGATATTAATTTGATTTTTCCGTGTATTCTCGGGCAATTATATTTCTCTTGAAAAACTTCAATTTCGCACATGCCAGATATCAATCATATTCCCTTCTTAAGCAATAATAATATCGTTATCTTATTGTAAAAGTTGCGGCAGAGTTTGAGAAAGGCCATATTAGAACGACGCGACGCTGAAAACGTCGCCGGACGGCGGCCACCGGCCGAATTTCGGCCGCAGGAATTCGACACTCGAGTCTGCGCGAGGTCGCAAGAACTACCGTCCTAGAGGCTCCGCAATTTCGTCCTTATTGCCGCGAGCAAGAACGACGCGTTCGGACCGGTAATTAAGGAACGAAGCCCGCCGATACACACGACGCGGTTGCGGTTCGGGGGGCCGCGTGGGTGCGAAAAAATGTTTGCGTTAAATTCGACGGACGGATAGAATAACACGAACGAACAAAACCGGCGCGATGACACCCGGTGTTTGCGTTCGATTCTCCGAGCGTGAGCTCATATAAACTGCAGGGTAATATCGCCCGTGGAAAAAGAGTCAAAAACGAGAAATCCGCAACAGCCCAAGTAGGAAATAACCGCTGACGAAGTACTGGTACCGATTTTTAGTGAACTGTACTAAATGCCGATACTGGTGGAGTACTGGGATGATAATAACGGGTCAAGACTCGAAAGACAATACCATAACTGTGCCAATTCCCAGTATCGTAAACGTACCAAAAATTATCGATTCCCAATACCGGCACAGTACCGACTACCACAGTAATGATTACACTAGTTTATAAAAGAATAGTTTTTTTAATTATTTTCAACCAGACAAGATGTTTCTTATAGATTTTTGGATGCCGAAAACGTCGCCGCAAGCGAAATTTCATCAGCCCGTCAGGTCCAAAATAAATACGTGTACATTTATATATATATAGAATCTATCGAGATAAATTATATTATATATATATATATATATATATATATATATATATATNATATATATATATCGATAGCCACAAACTACAAATTACAAATACACACGACTTGAAATATACCAGAGAAGCTATTTTTTACACATTAAATCTCAATTATTTTAAAAACTTGGCATGTTAGTGAAATTTAACTTACGGCGTCGTTTTCGGCATTCAAAAATCTATGAAAAAACGTTTGGTACAAAATAATTTTTGGCTATAAACTAGTATTACTATCAGTGTACAATTGTTAATGCCACTATGTGTAACACCATACTGTACTTGTAATATTATATTGTGGAAGGAAGAATCAGAACTATGACGGGGCTTGTTCGTGCATATCCACTTTTAATGTCATATGAGATGAAAAACATCGGAGGCAAACGCGAGGCAAACTCGACTGAGATCGAACTCGGGTCTTCCACTTGTCAGGCGATCGTCCTTACCACCAAGTTATTTAAGTTCCATATTAGTGACATCTCTCGCTTTCCTATTTAAGGCATTGGCATCGTAACGGGAAATCCATATTTTAGTACTGAATTGGTTATCAGTCTCAGTACCAGCTGAATATTTACGACTGCTACATGGGAATAAACGATACGAGCGAGCGTTTCCTAAGTGTCCTGGAAAAGTTTGAAATATTTCAGATAATTCAAATATTTGGCCGATAAACCGGAATGAATCGTTCGACGGAAATAATCCTCCGTCGCTCGAAGTATCAATGT